AATGTAAGAATAAAATTACAGGTGTTACATTTTTTCTGGCTGCCTTTGGCCTTTACCACCAGATGGGACTGCTAACTCTGCAATGACAGAAACTGCGATGACTTGTTCTTGATCTTTCTCACCTTTTCCTGAGGTATCCATTTTTCTTCCCTTCTTTTTTCTCACATCACAAAGTATGTGATCTCATCCTTCGGATGAGACGTAAAACCGAGGTCCTGACTCTCTGTGGTCATTAAAAATCCCAGGGCGTTTCTCAAAAAGAGTAGGGGTGTAACCCTGGCGTCCTGGCCAAATTTCCCATTGGCCTTTACCAATCATGGCCTCCTAATAATCCCCATCTATGAATTGGCTTCACTACTCTGTTCTCCTCCCCACTGATACCTGATGTGTGGTGAGCGTTCTGGCGCACTAGCGCTGCCGTCGCATCATCCAGGTGGATGCTGCACATTGGTGGTGGTGGAGGGGAGTCCCCATTACCTGTAAAGTGCTCTGAGCAGAGTGTCCAGAAAAGCGCTATATACAGTAAGTAAGCAATTATTATTATTATTATTATTATTATTACATACTGCATTTTAGAACTTTTAGGCTGAAGAACTTGAGGTAGAAGCAATCTCTTGCCCTCAAATACTCGTTTTCATCGTGGATTGTCCTATTCCTAAGCAAGCTGTATGACAGCTGTACGTTTCATAAACCGTTTGTTATGCCGTGGTTGCACAGGCTGACAGCCGCGTCCTACTGTGCCCAGGAAGGCAGGCAATCCAACCGCGGATGCTCGGCGATTCCCGGAAGCTGTCGGAGATTGCCGAGGAGAGAAGGGGAAAAAAAAAGTTTGAGAGAAGAAGCTCCGAAAGCACAAGCAGACAGAGCTGAATCCAGGCAGGAAAATGAACCACGGGGCAGTTTCGGGCAGAACAGGGCCAGGGCCAATTCAGGAATCGGGCTTACAAATCACGGACAGGGTTTTCTCTACGTTTGTTCGGAAAAAGCCGAGAAACACGATGACAGAACATCTCTAGGAGCTCAAATGACAGAGCGTGTTCCCCCCCCATCGCGGTTCAGGTCTTTTCCAGACGCTCATGGTTGATTAGATGATGAAACGTCTTGATAGAATGAGGGGCGAATCTGTACACGACCACGGCTGTGTAATAATTAGAGCCCCCCCGTGGCTACAGTCTGACGTACTGTAAGCCGCTGCCTGGCTGGGTGTGTATTTTTATAGGAGAGACCCAATCCAGTTAGCCTTACACAGCAGGTCATCCTAAATCACCTGCTGTTTAAAAAAAAAATTAGGAACACTTTTTAAGTAATTGGACAGTTTCGCAAGTAGTTTGTCGCATTAAGGGGATTCATAAGAGCTGAAAGGCATTCCAAATGACTCCTAGATCTGTTTAATGTAATGAATTGTCCCAGATCGTCAGCAATCGATTAGAGGTTACATCTGCCGGATGGGACTCTCTGGGAGTGAGGGTTGGGGACCCCTCTTGTAAGGCACCCGTGAAATTGGTTAATTATCCTTAAATGTAACCCTTAGAAGTTTCTTGAATGTTTAAACTTTGCCATTCATTTGTCTTTAAAGATGAGGACATAAGGGTTTGTCAGGAACACCTTTGGTTTGAATGTACTGTATTTAATTTTTTGTACTATGCTCAAAACTTCCTCGATGCTTTATTCAACACAATGCCTGCTTGTATAAGTCAACAGTATTGCTTTTGAAGCACCTATCCCTGTTAAGCTCATTTTTCCCTTTTGGAGGAATAAAACTAATCACAGTTGTTGAATATCCAAAGAGCTCCTTTCATTAAAAATTCCGAAATAATTTCCTAACTATAAATTAAATACTTCCTAATTAATTTTTTACACTTCTTTTTTTTTGTGTAACATGATCAAACATTTTTTGTTCTGTTGATATTCATATTCATACTGTACATAACAGCAGCATTTACTGTAGCAGTACAGTATATTCATATTAATATCTAAACTGATTCTTATTTGAGTCCAGAGTTAGTTAAATCCCTTCACTGGAAGTTACTGCACTGCAAATATGCTCAAAACAAATATAACAAAAAAAAACCAAATACAATTCAATATCTATTAAAATGTAAATTTGATAGTGTTGATAAGTGAAATGATAGGTAGTCTGCACTGAGCAGTACTGTGTTCGAATTTACAGCAATGATTTTCTTAATGGTTATACTACTGTATTAAAGCAATTTGAGTAGGCAGCAGGTGAAGGTTCATTCCCTGCTGAAAGGTCGAGAAAAGAAAAGACATTTTGGCTGTGGAGCTTCTTCAGGTGTGAAGGAGAGAGAGAAAGTGAGAAAGGGTAGGGAGTAAGTGGGGAACGGGTGTTTAAACAGCAGAAGAGGTGGAGAAAGCCAAAATCTGCAAACGAATGGAAAGGATTTAAAAGGAGATTAGTGTGTCATTGAGTGGACGAGGAAGATGCTACCCATCTTCAAGAATGGAAAAAAACCCTGTGACAGGACGCAGCGAGATAAGAGAGATCAATGGGGAATATCCTTCGATCCTCACTGCTCTGACATGTTGCCTGAAACAGTCTGCTGATCTTCTTCCTGTCTCACTAATGTAAGTAGCTGGGCGTTTTCTGCATGAGATGCAATGAATATGGTAATCTCCTGCATATTTAGGCCATATAGCACTGAGTTCACTACAATTTAGAGACATTAATTCAACACATAACAGCTACATGAACTATGTGCTGTTCATAGGTGATTTATTTATTTACATAAAAAACTATTCAGTCTGGTAAATGCTGCAAAATATAAAATTGAACATAGAATAAGAATAAAATGCAAATGGGAATTAGTTAACAGGCAGCTGCATTTCACATTATTAAACTGAGCAACATTTGATAGTTTGACTCATCTCCCCTTGGACAGGACTCTAGTTCATCATAGGGACTAGCCAACAAATACCCATACTGTACAAATATGGAGACAACATGCAAACTCCATACAAACAGGCTACCATTCAATTCTGGACCCAGAGATGTGAGAGAGCAGTGCTGACCATTGTACTGATCCTGAATATTGTAGTTTTAAACATAATAATGTAAATAAATGTAAAGAAGCACGAAGGAAGTCAACAATCAAAATAACCACCCATAAAATAATTTGTAGTTGTTCCAGCTCCAGGTCTTTTGAAATTTTAAAATGTTCATGTGAACTTGTAGGACAGGAGATTGAGTATTGTAGATACTTCAGTCTTAATAAAATGCTAGATAAGTGAGGCAGTGTGTTTTGCTCAGTTTTTATAAGATTTTAATTGATAGTAAACTGTAACCCTGGTACCCAATTCTCATGCCTTATTACTTCCAGTCAACATTTAACAGATAGCAGAAATACTAATAATACTGTGCGAAAAGGTTACTGAGTTACAGCACATCCTAATAATGTGTGTGGAAGGAAATGTGGGCTTATCTTTTTACTATATTTTATATGTATTTACTTATGATTTACTATTTAGAAAGTAGATCTCCAAATCTGTATAATCAGATAAATCATACCAATTCTATTGTTTACGTTCAGAAATCTTTGATACCGATGCTTTTTCTAAAAAAAAAAAAGAAGAGGGCGTAAAAAGGTCATATTATTACATAATACCTCATGCATTTTTTCAGATGTCTTATTTTAAGCATATGGAAAAAAGACAGGGAAAGAATGATGTTACAGTCTACATTAGTGTTAGTAAATAAAACAAAAAAACAAAAATGTGTGGAATAATACAGGAAATATATATTTATAAATGGAATTGAAAATACAGTCAGGATTTGTGAAAAATAATTAGAATTTGTAATGAACCAAAAGATGGATCATATGTACTTCAATACAAACAAGAAAAAAATGTCTCTGTTAAAAAATCTAAACTACTTGAACTGTCCCTGGAGACAGTACTGTGGGGGCTGAACTGTTTAACAGCTGCCTTGTTCCAATGTCTTGTTGAAAAGAAAACTGAAGTATTTTTAATTGCTTGAGACCCTTCACCTTGGGAATATCTGGAACTATGGCACAACCCCAGAAGAAAGAGAACATTAAAACTTCCTTAGTTAAAGTACAGTAGTTTTGTTTCAATATTGTGTGCGGAACTTATCTAATATGAAACTATCAAAATAGCAAAGGTTTTCAGACGGTGGCCCATTTTTTTAAATGATTTATTAAAATAAATCAACAGCTCTTAAAACAGTTGCGTTTGGGGCTGACTATGATATTGCAAGGATTTTTCTATGGCAGTCTGAAATGGGGAAGGGTAGGTTTTATTAACATGATATTTTGAAAAGTGATTTCCAGCCAGTGAAGTTTAGAATTCTCTGAATATCTAATACCAATGACTGGATTTGGGCAAACAAAATGCTATACTGTAGATTGTTAACCAAGTGCATTTTGATCAATCAAAGTTTACTTTGTTTCACTCAGGACTCAACAAACTGAGCACGTCTAACAACACCTTACAGTATATTAACTCAGGGGTCTGCAGCCCTGGTACTGGAGAACCACAGTACTGCTCATTTAAAGGTTCATAAACAGAGTCATGTAAAGCACCTACTGTAATTAGGTACTGTAACTGATCAATTTCATTCAAAGCTTGACTGGAATAAAAACCAGAAGATACTGCAGCTCTCTATCACCAGAGTTGGAGACCCCTACACTAACTGAAGCACAACGACACCCTTACCCTGACGTATCCACCAAATATCCGCCAATCTAAATTTATCCAGCATCACACAGAGAAACATTTTAGCTTTGGGTTTGCTTGTAGGCAACCTGCATATTACTGTAAATGCAGAAAATTGACATTGTGTAATTACTGTACATTCAATCAAAATTACAGATGCAGTCGTAACTTTGAGTGCTTCATAAAGTGCTGACAGGACTTCATTTTGCTAGGAAAAGAAAACAGCCAACAAAAACACAAAACAGGAAAGTTATAGCAGAAGTAATTTGTTAAATTACACACAGCATATATCATATCTGCATACCCTCCAGATAGAAAATAAATGATAAAGGTATAATGTGTGTACAAGCAGGGTGATATCTCCCCTAGTCAACCCCTTACACTACACGCAAATCTCACTCCCCAATGCAACATAGAATGCATATAATTATATACAGTACATTATATTTAAGTAGAATTATATAGATTTTCAGTACTCAAACATGTAATACTACTGTACATTGGAGTAAAACAAAAAAGCTTTTTTACAATAAAATTATTGTTAAAACATTGCTACAATTTTAGTCACTTTAAAAAAGTCCAGCTGTTGCTCCATCTCATAACTTCTTTGAAGAAGACAATCCTAGATTCTAATCTTCAGATTTATTGTTAATGACGAAGACGTTCCACAGTGCATAAACTTTAATGTCTTACAAGAAACTTCAAAGTAAGTGCTCCAGAAAGTAATAATAAAAGATTAACCGTTAGTGCTATTGTTCAGCCAGATAAAAGTCTGCAAATATAAACTCGAACATCACAAGGAAACAGTGAAGATTCTCTATGCCGTAGCCCCACACAGTCTGGATACAGGGGGAACATCTTTCGAGTCCGAGTCCGGTCTCCCCGAGACCACAAATGGCCACGTCTGTTAAAAGAAACACAAATCATTGTGAATGATATGACCCTGTTCGTGTATTGCACTTTTGTCTTTTTTTTTAATAGATGTGGAATAACTTTCTAAACAAAGCGCACTTTTAAAAGTGCAACTATGCATTACCAGCTTAACATCATAATACTGTATGACGGAGAATAAAGACAATCACAACATTAAATTAACTAAAGTTTAATAATAATAATAATAATAATAATAATAATAATAATAATAATAATAATAAAAGGAGCATCTTACCAAGCTTACAGGATGCACGAAGCTGTTCTCATACCTGTCTTCTTGCAGGAGCTGTCTGAGATGTGCGATGTAGCTTGAGGCCAGTCGAAGCGTGTCCAGTTTAGAGAGTTTTGTGTCTGGTGGTACCCAGGGCAGACTGGTTTTCAACCGTGAAAAGGCTTTGCTGAGCACCCGCATCCTCGCTCTCTCCCTCGCATTGGCTGCGTTTCTCTGAGACTGCTTACAATCCTTGTGGCTTTTGGAAATCTGGCTTTTACTGGGTCCCAGTCTGCCCCGTTTTTTCTTCATGGCGCTGTTGCCGCAGTCTGTACCGGACTCGTTTTCCGAATTTTCTGCGGAATTGTACAAAACTTTAGCAGACCCATCCCGTCCGGAGCTCCTGTAGTGAAGATCCAATCCATGAATAACCAACTCTTGAATGTCCTCAGTATCACTGACTGAGCCAGTAGACATTGCACTAGCTCTGTGGTGGTCAAATGCCGGAGAGAAATGATCTCACTCTTTTAAGTATATACTGTATGCTTGAAACAGACCATAGATGAAGGAACCTTTCCTTGGAAGACCTCTTTCTGAACTTTGATAACTACACTTATCTGGTTTTGACAGCACCATTTATTTTAATTCCACAGACCGAACCATTAAGATCAAGCGCAAGTACAGTAGTTCAAAATAACTTTTTTTAAAACGCCGAATCTTCCTGAAATAATTTAACATGCCTATATAATATTGTATATTACCCTTTGTACGTTTTCGATATTCAAATACAATATTCAAAACATGAATATTTAAAACACATCATCATTTTAGTTTCTGTTTCATTATGGTATATTCCAAGGCATACAGTACCTTCAACTTGGGAACCCACTCCAAACTTAACTATTTCGATACTGGGAACTCAGTTTCTCATTCAGTGAAAGTCACTCTGCGGTGTCTGTTGGCTTGAAACTCCCACCGCCTTAATATAAACCTCATAAATTATAAGGTAGTTATAATTATTTGTGTTTGCATAATGGTATAGCTTCTTCTGCAACCTTTATTGATAGCTTTAGGTTGAGGTAATAGTGCTGTTTTCCCTCTACAGTATAACAAAAAACTAAGGCGAATGTGGAAAGAGTTAATAAACTATTATGTCAATGCGCTACAGCAAAAAGTATAATGACGTTATGTATTTCTGTATATGCGCTATTTCACAAAATGAACTACTGCCGTTACTTCTAACAGCAACTTTTATAATGGTTTAGCATGTGGATGAAGTAGACAACACCATGAAAGCCCTGTAGATTTATGATTTTTTTACATGTACAGTAAACTGAAATTGTCCGCCCTTTATCTGTTGTTATATACAGTATATTACAATGTTTCAACTTTTTATTGGAAAAAAATAAGTAGAGTTTGCCTTTTAGTTTTAACTATGATATTTTAAGCATTTGTAGACCAGTGGCTCACAAGACGTTTGAACGTCACATGAGATGGGGTTATAGTGTGTTCAATTCAGGGACGCGTACAATAGAGATCAAATCCTGTTGTGATCAAGTACTCGGAAATCAAGCACGCAAACGCGTGTAAAAAAAACACGTGCAGACTACAGTGCGTCTGTAAAACACCTGCCGGATCGCTGTTACCGACAGGTTGTACCAAAGTTTACGTTATAAAACGCGCTACTGTACAGTATCTCAACTCGTTACACTTGTGCTTAACGGTGAGGATCTCAGATTGGTGCCGACAGCCTTAATTAAGGGAATTACTTTTGAACAGCGGCTGCTTTCATCGGACTTGCAGTTCTGTGTCGTTTTATCTCCGGCCTGGCCTCAAGGCGATTCACCGCTAATCTTCGGAAATGTCTCTTTTTTTTTTTTTTTTAGAAAAAGGCACAGATTATTAAACAACGATTACGATTGAGGACTGTACATGCGGACGTCACGCTGGCGCAGTAGTCAACACCGCTGCAGGGAACTGGGTTCAATTCCGGACATTCTGAAATGCCGTCTGTGTGGTGCTTGTATTTTTTCTTCAGGTGTTGTGGTTTTCTCGCATAATCCAAAGACGTCCATCTGCTTTCTTCCTCCTTCATCTCATGCAGGGTCGCAGGGGAGCTGGAGCCTAACCTACTGTAGCAGGCAAAGGCCGCAAGGCAGGACACGCCCTGGACAGGAAACCAGTCCATAACAGGGCACCCACAGACACAGCTGCACTAGGGCCAATGTCCTCAAAGCCAATTAACCTGCTAGTATTCCTTTGGACTATGGGAGGAAGCTGAAGCACAAGGAAGCAATGCAGGTGACTACAGAACACCCAAACTCAGAGAAGATAGCACCCCAGGTATGGATTTGAACCCAGGGTCCCAATGCTAACCACTGCATCACCTAGTATGCTGCCCCCATCCAAAGACATACAGTAGAGTACTAGTACTGTAGGTTAATTAGCTTCTGGGAAAACTGGCTCTGGTGTGAGTGTGTGTGTCTGTAGCTGTGTGTGCCCTGCAAGTATTCCACCTTCATCCGTTGCTTGCCAGGGTAGACCCTGACTCCCTCGCTCCTCTGACTTGGATGAAGGGGTTAGGAAGTGGATGGACTGCCTGCATGGATACTGTACATATAATAAAACAGATTTTTGGGACACAAAACTTCCATGTACTGTATTTCATGTCGGGTAACTGAGCACACCTGTCACAATCCCGAGGGAATTGTATTAGAATCGTGCGTGCCATGACTTCTCTGTGATATCCTCCCCATACACTTTTTGAAAACACTCTGTTAGGGAAAAGGCTCTTCTGGAGCGTGCACAGACAGATGGCCCCAACCACAATCAAACCCAAGTTGTGAGGCAACAGTGCTAAATGTAGTTATTAATGCTTAATTAACATGTTATTTATCAATCACTATTGTGAAGGAGGCGTTACTTTCCCAGAGCTACTGTACAATTTAGAGAAGAGATACATGACATTGTTTTTTTATTAGCAATTTGAAAAAGCAAGCAAGTTTGAATTCAGGATTCCAAGGGATATTCAAACACAACTGGAACTTGAAATTACAGTGAAGAACAGGTGGCCTACAGTAGTCTTTCAGAAAAGACAATGAGTGAGTCCTAGTATGAGGATCAACAATGTGACCTGACATTGCAGCCCCACCTGGATGATGTGACAGCAGCCTTAGTGCACCAGTACGCTCCCCACACACCAGCTCTCAGTGGGGAGGAGAACAGGGTGATGAAGTCAGTTTAGAGATGGGGATTATCAGGAGGCCATGACTGATAAAGGCCAAGTGGGATTTTAGCCAGGACAATGGGGTAACACCCTTAGTTTTGCTCTGGGTTTTTAATGACCACAGAGAGTCAGGCCTTCAGTTTTATGTCTTATCTAAAGGAATCTTTACAGTATAGTATCCCCATCACTATACTGGGGCATTAGGACCCACACAGATCACAAGGTAAGCACCCCCTAGTGGCCCCACTAACACCTCATCCTGTAGCAACCTTAGCTTTCCCAGGAGTCTCCCATCCAGGTACTGGCCAGGCTCACACCTGCTGAGATTTTCAGGTGCAAACATATAAATATATAGAAAATTTATGTCTGTTATATACGGTGCTTATAAAGCAATAATTTTTTAACAGGCTAAACACATTTGTTTTCACTTAAAAGTGGGAAAAATATAATATGTACTACTACTACTACTACTCATAATAATAAATAATAGTACCACTCCACTGGCCATTTACCTCAGGTTATATTTTCTGTGTTCCTTTGTAAGTGTTAAGAACATATGAACATTAGAAGTGCTGCAAACTAGGCCTGTGTTGTTTGTTTCGTAGTTTAGTTTTTAAGTGAATCTCAAATATAATTTAACTATTTCTTATAACAGTCCTGTGTTTTGACCTCAGCCATCTAGATGAGAAGCTTTTTTTAGAGAACCACAGCTAGAGAACACAAGAAGTGTAAAATAGTGTTTCCTGTTCTGTCCTCTAAAAAATCCCTGTAAGTTAATAATTTTAACCATTTGTCTTTCTTCTTTATTGTTGTACTCTCTTGTATTCTCTTGGTCGCCTTTGTTCTAGATTGAAGAGATTTGGTTCCTGTCTGCATAACACAATCCTCTGTTAATTATTAGCCATATATTCAAACAGCCAATCCAGAAGGAAAACTGCTTTGACCTGTGCTAAAATGTAAATGAACTCATACCGTACATTTAAGTTTTATATTTTTTAATGTACTGTAAGCTGTGGAAAAACAGTCGGTGAATGTCAATTATTTACCAATACCCAAATCAAACTGATCATTTTAATTACATTAAGATCCCCTACGAGTTCTTGAAAGCACAGAGAAACGTTTTTGAATTTTGAGGCTGATAAAAAAAGCACTGCACAAGGAGAAAGCAGCAATGATCTAATTATAGCTGCTTTATAAGTCATTATGAGAGAGCATTAAGAGACAACATTCCCATGCCTAAATGCATGAGTGGGTTTCAATGTTTAGAAGTCCAAATCCACCTCCTCCTCCAAAAACATTTCCCCAAGGATGGGAGTCATTATTAATTGTTCAGGCTCATTACTTCCTTGGGATCACTAATGTGGCCTGCATTGCTCAGGTATCCCTCATTTTCACCACCCATCCCTGTGGAATAGCCCAGCAAACTCTTTTTAATACCTCCTGGCGCCAGAAGAAAGTTCTCATGTAATAGATACCCTGTGGTGCTAAAGCTGTGATTCTGCTTACTTTGTCAATCACCCACTTGGGCTAGAGTGCACTTTAGCCTTTAAAAATGTTTAATCGGATGGATTAGTTGGGAAGAAATCAGCTCATTTTGATGCATAATTGGTTTGTTGATTGCAATTTTCCATATGCACATGGCCTTGTGTGCCTTGATCCTAAAAAGTATGTAACATCTGATAATGTTGAGGTCCCACAACTAACAGGCAGCAACCGGAAATTCTTTTAAGTGCACTGCTTGTTCTGATTTCCTTTATCTTAGGACCAAGTTGAGAAGCTCTATGAAAGACTGAGGTGAAAACCGCAACTAAGGGTTAATTGTGTTTTCTGCACAGTCTTTACAACTTCAAAAGTACCCTGTGGTACTCAGACATTGAAGGAAAATGCCTGTTAAATATTAGGAAGAGCAAGGATAGTTTACCAACATTGAAGAGGGACAAAAAAGACAAATTCTTCTACATTCATAGTTATTGACATGCATTTCTATCAATTTGAATGTTTTTTTTTTCACCTACACATGCTATGTTAAAAGGAAATGTTTGGGAAGAATCTGGTTTATTAAAAATCGTGTGACTATAAACTTAAAAATTTAGAGGTGTGTCTTCATTTTTACTTTCACTTTTTTAGCATTAGTTTCTTATTTTAAAGAGAAAAGAAATGAAAGGGTAATTTTATAGCAGCAACAAATCGCATCTTTGATTCCAATGTTTTTCACAGCTGTCCATAGTGGTTTGGGGCCATTCAGCCAGGAACAGTTGATGCAACTGTGCATGAGTACAAATTTGCACCAAGAGGAGGCCATCCGGGCCAGTTGGTATCTGTGGTACTTAGGAGCTAATTGTTCCAAGGCTCTCATCCAGC